CCAAAAAAAAAAAAATAAGATGAACTAAATGCATTTTTTTCATAAAGAGATGTGCATAAGTCTTTCGGGGGTCTGAGACAGAATGCTATGGTTTTCTCTAAATGTCCCCCCAAAGCCTCATTCAATCATTGGCAGAGCTTTTGGAAGGGGACTGTGCTTTGAAGGTTTATAGCTGATGCGCTTTTGGAGGTGACAAGAATGGGGGTGTGTGTGGGTGTGGCCTGGAAGGGTTTATCTCCCTTCCTATCTCCTGCCTTGACTTGCTCTGCTTCCCAGATGCCATGCTGTTAGCAGCCCTCCTCTACCGGGCCACTCTGCCATGGACTGAAACCAAAATAAACCTCTTTTCCTTTAAGTTATGGTGTCAGGTATCCTGTCTCCCTGACAGGAAAGTGACTAAGACAGATATATTTCTGAAAAAAGTGCCACCTCCTCAAGAAAAGTCTCAGCAGATCCTTCAGGAAGTGCCACAGAAGTCACTGTCATCACCGGAGATGACAGCCCATGCCTGTCATTTCCCCTTCCAGTGGGACAAGACATGGAGATGGAAGCTGGTGACAGTGATGATCCTGACCCCAAACAGCTCTGACTACTGTGCACCTTTGTGTCTTAGGGTCACCACATGATTTAAATATGGTTTAAAACCCATCTGCTTTGGTATTTCTTTTTTTTGTGTGTGTGCCGGTGATCGAACTCGGGACCTGGCGCTTGTGAGGCAGGCGCCTGAACCACTGAGCTAAATCCCCGGGCCTGGTATTTCAAATTGAGCAATTGGCTGGGTGTGTAGCTCAGTAATAGAATATATCCTTAGTATGCAAGAGGCTGTGGGTTCAATTCCCAGACTATAAAAGAAGAAAGCAAAAAAAAGAAGAAGAAGAAGAAGAAGAAGAAGAGGAGGAGGAGGAGAAGGAGAAGGAGAAGAAGAAAGCACTGGAAAGGCTGAGGCAGGAAGATCATCAGGAGTTTAAGGCCAGCCTGAGCTACACAGCAAGACCCTGTCTTGAAAAACCAAACCAAAACAAAACCCTAAAATTCTATCAGCTGGAAGGTGTGACTGAGGAGCAATATCCTTGGCAAGAGGAGAGGCTAACTTCCCCCAGAATCTGTGAGCCAGGAGGCAAAGATTCCCATCCTGATTCAGAAGGATGGAGGTAGTTGTCCTTACATTAAACTCAGAATCTCAGCTGGGTGTGGTGACACACACCTGAGGTCCTGGCACTCTTGGAGGCTGAGGCAGGAGAAGCACTGGGCAGTTTAGTGGCATAAGGAGAATTTGTGTCAGAATAAAAAGGGCTGTGGATATAGCTCAGTGTGTGAGGGCCACGCTTTCAATCCCCAGTACTGAGGGTGATGGGAGAAACCAAAAAACAGCAGTCTCAATCGTAGAACAAAGCATTTAGGCTTAAGAAGTAGGCTTGGTAGGGCCAGGGATTTAGCTCAGTGGTTCTGCCACCTGACTCGAAAGCACAAGGTCCCAAGTTCAATCCCCGGTACCAAAAAAAAAGAAATAGTCTTGGTGAGCTCATTGGCTGAGGCCATTTGCCAGTGAAGCACTCTGGAAACCTGCTGATGTGTGAAGGAATTAGATTCCCCAGGACACCACAGGCCAGCTGGCAATGTCCTTGAGCGCTCAGCCAGAGTCTTGAGTCGTTCTCAGGCCACAGTGCTATCGTGCTGATCTGATTGCTCCCAACACCTCCCAGAGCACAGGAATCGGGCAGAGCAGCCCAGACTGAATGCTATGTCCTGGAAGGGACCTTCACGTCCCCAGTGGGGACAGCAGTGATGGAGCAACTGTACAAGCGCCCTGCAACCAGCGGCACCCCCAACCCCCAGAGGACCGAGCTGCTCCAAAGGACTGGCCTGGCCATGAGTCGAGGCCCTCAGCTTCAGAACTGTCACTTGTTGTCTTGCTCCTGTGCCACCACTGCGTACTGACAGACAGTTTTTTGTTCATCCGAGCACCCGCATCTGGCCCTGGTAGGTAGTGGGTAGAGACAGTGGAAAGGATGGATGTGAGGATGGGCACTGGGGGATCTGCAGTTTCTTGGGAGGGGCATAGTTGAGGGGTTTACATATTGGAAGAAATAAATATATGTATTTATAGATTTATCAGATGGCACAACTTATCATCCAAACTATGACACTTTAAACAAATCTTGATCTTCAATATTTATTCATATGTTAGTGTAAATATGCCAATTGCTGATCGATAGGTTTTGGGGCTTGAGATTGAACTCAGGGCTTCACTACACTTAGCCAGAGCCCTACCCTGCAGCTGCACCCTGGCCTGTGTCATCATTATAATAGCATCATTTAGGTCCAGTTGATGCATAGTAAACTGTCTCTATTTGGGAGTGTGTGAACAGAATTTCCATATCTGATGCCCATGAAACCACTCCACAATGAAGATGAGGAACATGTCTAGGACCCCTCCAGTGCTTCCTTATGTCCCCTGTTGGTGACCCTCTCTTATCCCTTCCTATACTTTCCTTGCCAGGCAGCCACAGATCGGCCTTTGTCACAACACATCAGTTTTATTTATTTATTTTTTTGGTACCAGGAACCAAACTCAGGGTTTCACACTTGCCAGGCAGCCGCTGTGCTGCTGAGCTACATGCCTGGCCCATTCAGTTTTATTTTTTTTAAAAAAACTCTTTTTGCGGGCTGAGGATTTAGTGCAGTGGTGCCAATGCCTGCCTTGCAAGTGCAAGGTCCCGAGTTTAATCCCTGGCACCAAAAAATACCTCTTTTTTTTTGGTGCCAGGGATCAAACTGGGGTCCTTGCACTTGCAAAGCAGGTGGTGGAACCACTGAGCTAAATCCCCAGCCCAAAAATACCTCTTTTTGAGACAGGGCCTCACTCTGTGGTTCAGGCTGGCCTTGAACTCACTAGACCTAGCTGGTCTTGAACTCCCCGTGATCTTCCTGCCTCAGCCTCCAAGTGCTGGGATTAGTATGCTCAATCACACCCAACTTTTATTTACTTTAAAAAATTTCAAGCCAGAGGCTGGGGATTTAGCTCAGTGATTGTGCCACCTGCCTCAAAAGTGCAAGAACCTGAGTTCAATCCCCAGTACCCCCCCAAAAAATTTCAAGCCAGGCATCGTGGTGGCACACACCTGTAATACCAGCACCTGGGAGGATGAGGCAGGAAGAGCTCTGTGAGTTTGAGGCCATTCTGGGCTACATAGTCAGTTCAGGACCAGCCTGAACTACAAAGTGAGACCCAGTCTCAAAAGAAAAAAAAAAAGAAAGAAAAAAGAAAAGGAAAAGAAATAAACTTTTCCCTTATCCCACATGAAAACTTTGTGCTGTTACACAATGACTTCCTCTTCCTCCCTCCCCAGTCCCTAGTAACCATTATTCTACTTTCTGTCCTTAGGAATCTGCCTATTCAGGGCACTTATTTAAGTAAAATCATAAAATATTTGCCCTTTTGTGTCTGGCCCTTTCATTTATAATATTTTCCAGGTTCATCCATGGTGTACCATGTATCGATCACATGACTAATTTTTTTTTTCTTTTTTGAGACAGGATGTAGTTCAAATTTGCTCTGAACTTGCGATCATCCTGCCTCAGCCCCCTGGGTGCTGGGACTATAGGTTTGTGCCCCCACATTGGACTTGCAATCTTTTTGTTTTTGTTTTTGTTTTGTTTTGGTACCGGGGATCGAACTCGGGTCCTTGCGCTTGCCCAGTGGGCGGCGAAACCACTGAGCTAAATCCCCGGCCCCATGGACCTGCAATCTTAATCTCTCACGTCGCCCTAGTTTTCTCAGTGCCCTACTCCCTCTCCTTAAAAAACCTGTTTTTCCTCTGAATATTTTTTCCTTTCTCTCACTGTTTTCCCTAAGAAAGGAGGCCCAGGCGTAACTCTGACGCGGGCCGGCCGCAATCTTTCCAGCGTTCCTTGCCCCAGCCCCCACCCCCAGGTTGGGCGGAGTCAGCGGCCCGGCTGGTAAAGGGCGGGGAGGAAGGGCTCTGGGCTCGACCTACTCTGGTCCTGGTAGCAAAGCAGCCGCTAAGGCGACAGGTGAATGTGCAGGCCCTGGCGGGGAAGAACTGAAAAGGGGGCAGGAGTTTAGGGAAGGCTTTAGACAGTTCGGGGTTGACCCTAACAGAGAAGGCAGGGGACTGTAATTCCACCAAGAGCAGGCCTTGCCGTCGACGAGAAACCTGCCCCTTACCACTCGGAGTGGCCGCCAGAGCCCCACTGAGAGTACCTGGGTCATACATTAGCTCTGGGTGGCAGAAATGGAACATCCACAGTAGCAATGGCTTAAATAAACAGGAGTTCTTTCTCTCAATAAAAGCTGAGAGGCAGCTGAGCATGGAGACTTACCTGCTTAAGAAACTCTTGGGAAAGTAGGAGCCAGGCATAGTATACTCTCAGCGACTCAGGAGGCTGGGGCAGGAGGGTCATTTGAGCCCAGGAGTTAAAGACCAGTTGGGCAACAGAGCAAGAGCCTATCACAGAGAAAATAAAAATACTGCCCTGGTTCCTCTTCCGTCTTAACATACGACAATTTGGTTTTATCTACTTCTTTGACGCCAGGCCCAATTTATGTGTTGATGATGTCTAAATCAGTGTTTTCAGCTCAGAACTCTGTCTTCACCCACACACACACGCACACACACAGAAATAGGCATATATATGTATATGCCTGTATAGAATGTGTGTGTGTGTGTGTGTGTGTGTGTGTGTGTGTTACTGGGGATTGAACACAGGACCTTTGCACTGAGCTGCATTCCCAGCCCTCCTTATTTATTTATTTAAAGTTTTGAGATAAGGTCTTGCTGAGCTGATAGGTTGCCCAGGATGGGCTTGAACATACAATCCTCCTGCTTCAGGCTCCCAGAGTGCTAGGATTCCAGGACTGCACTGCCATGTCCCACTTCGGGTGCCTACTGCAGTCACCTAGGTATTTTGCAGAAACCTTAAACTCAAATGTCAGCTTTCCCCTTCAAATCTTCTTCCTCCCTTGTGATTTTTCTTAGTGGGAAACATCTATCACTGAGCCGATCGTGCTTGACATGGGCGTCACACTTAGGGGACAGGTTGAGAGCGCAAATACGGAACACGGCCATTAGTGCCATCTCAGTCCCCACCAGCTCCTCGACCTCGGTCAGCTCCTCAAGCTCCAGAGCCTCTGGATCTTCAGACTGTCACCTGGTGGCACCTCCCTTCCTGATCACCCAGGGCACTGGATGACAGATTCCCGCCAAGTGCTGGACAGGTGCTGCATACATTGAATCCGTACAGAATGTTACCTTTCTTCTTTACAAAAAATTAAAAATTATTTTATCAGCAGGTGTTTGCAGAACATAATGCTGACACACGTCACGGGGAGTTGGTGAGTGTACAGAACACATCTGAATACCTTTTATGTCCCCCCCTTCATCTCTTGGTCCCCTTTCATTTGCAAAAGCTCCATCTTCCTGTTTCCCTGTATCTACCTTTTATTTTGCTCTTTATTTACATTTTGGGTTCTCTCATGAGGCAAAGTATGTGACATTCCAGCTCTTATGTCTCTTGGCTCCTGTCACCCTAATGCTCCTCTGTCCCCTGCACCTCATTGCCCATTGGGGAGCAAGTGGATCTCCCAATCTATCCCATCCTTTCAGTCCCCACTGCCAGTCTTAATCCAGGCTCCCTCTGGTCTGACTGGCAACAGGAGTTTCCTAAGCAACCTTCCAGGCTCCAGTCTTGCCCCTCTTCGTTCTCTCCTCATTTCTCGCTGGCTTTTTCTGCAAGGTGGCTGAGTGCAATGGCTCTCAGTTCCTCATGGGGACAAAGCTCTGCTTTGCCTGGAGTCGCTTCCTCTGCCTCCGCCTGCCCAGAGCCACCTCCACAGACCGCCCTCTGCTCTCTGCTGCTGCCCCCCCAGAACGCCTTCCTCTGAGGTGTCTGTGTGAGTCCTGTCCCAGCACTCACTCTGGGACAGGAGCATCACTGAGGAGCCCAGGAGCCTCCAAAGGCTAGGTCTCTGTCCTGTTCCACTCTGCTGCACCTCTGGAACGTAACTCAGGCCTTGGCCATCGCAGGAGATAGTGTCTCAGAGTCTCACGATGTAGCTCATGCTGGTCTGAAACTCCCTATGTGACCCAGGCTGGCCTCAAAACTTTTTTTTCTTCAGTATTGAGGATTGAGCCCAGGGCCTTCACACTAAGCTACATTCCCCAGCCCTTCTTATTTTTTATTTTGAAACAGGATTTCACTAAATTGCTCAGGGTGGGTTTAAAAACTTTCAATTCTTGGGGCCAGGGATTTAGCTCAGTGGTTTCTACACCTGCTGCGCAAGCGCAAGGACCCGAGTTCAATCCCTGGTACCCAAAAAAAACAACAAAAACTTTCAGTTCTCCTGCCTCAGCCTCCCAGAATACTGAGATTACAGGCATATGCCCTTATGCCCTGCTGGCCTCAAATTTTTGATCCTCTTATCTCAGTCTCCCAGAAGCTCATTACATTTTTAAATTAATGATTTAACTTAATGGGTAATACATGGCCATGTCTGGAAATTTAAAAATGCAAAGGAACATACAATAAAAAACAAACAAAGCCTCTCTACCCTGATTTGCCAACTTGCCCACTCATTTTTTCTACCTCTTTTCTTAAGGATTCTGCAAGATATCCCCTGTGAATACAACGAGTATATGTGCCTATGTGCTGTGGGTGTGGTAGCGTATTCTACACAGTATTCTGAACCTGGCTGTCTTCTCACTTGACCATGTATCTGGGGATGTTGTTTGCTTGTGGGGTTTTTTTGTTTGTTTGTTTGTTTTTTCTGGTACTGGGGATCAACCTCAGGACCTTATGCTGGCAAGGCAGGCGTGGTGCCACTGAGCTAAATCCCTGGCCCTGTTTAGTTTTTTTGTTTTGGTAGGTTTTTGTGGTTTTTTTGGTACTGGGGATGGACCTGGGACCTTGCGCTTACAAGGCAGCCAGTGGAACCACTGAGCTAAATCCCCGGCCCTTTTTTTTTTTTTTTTTAACCTAGCTGCCTGTCTTGCCAGCATTTAGTCAACAATTTATTAGCCAAAGTATTTTTCTCATACATAAATGATAAGGGCCAGACCTATGGGGGGGGGGAGATTCTCCCTTAAACTAAATGTGTTTTGGTCCCTTAAGTGTTGTGCTTATGGAAATAGCTCTCCTTCTGGTTTCACCCAGAAGTCGGTTCTTTCCACAGGGTCTCAGGTACAATCTCCCAAGGAAGACTGTTCCCCAGAGCACTAAGTGGGGACATCAAGTTCATGTGTTCTCCTTGACAGACAAAACCTTGATGTCTCATCTAACCCAGAGATGGGGTATGTTTCCTGATCTAAAATGACTTCCCTATCTTCAGTGTTGGCAAGAACGCTCATTTTCTAAGGACTTAACTTAAAGGTTCTTAGGAGAAAGACATTGAATATTTCAGAGATCCTTTCTGACTTTACATGCCTCTATAAAGGAGAGGATAAGATTGGCAGGAGAGACTGGAAATGAGACCAGGATAGGACGTCTTTTCTTCTCATGCGCTCGTTGAGTTATTGAGACAACTTGCCCCTGAGTCGTCACTCTCAGCCTGGAAAGGCTAGAGTGGGGAATCTCAAGAGCTAAGACTGTCTCCCCACCAGTGGAAGATCAGACCAGAAAGGAAACCGAGGCAGAGCTGGCTCAACATTTTCTCTAGAGTATAGAGAAGGATTGGGCCAGACTTGCTCAGTGAAACCTGTCTCCCAAGTCTTAAGAGGAGCTGCCGGCCTATTAATTGACAGCTGGGGTCCTGAATTTTATCAGTAGGGATGTATATTTTTCAACTATGAACTAGATTTTACAGAGAGACCTATTTTTACTACATTTTCTAATTTACTAGTAATTATTGGTAAAGTCCGTTGGATGACAATCTAACATTACTTTTCTTCAGCATTGTCTAACAAGTCAATCAAGCAATCAATATAAAACAGAAGGGCTGGGGATTTAGCTCAGTGGTTTCACCGCCTGGTGCACAAACCCAAGGACCCGTGTTCTGATCCCCCTTACCAAAAAAAAAAAAA